TAATGTAGGCTAACGAATTTATTACGAAAATGGTAGAATTCTGGAGCAATCCACGAGGTGGATATAAGTGCTGCAGTCAGTAGTTATCCAAGAAAATTCAAAAAACCTCGACCACTAGTAAATCCATACTCCGAGTCACTGTCTAGTACAAATGTCTCCATAACTATGGATTCGTGTCAAAGACCAACACTATCTGCAATAGCTTCAATAGGCATGTCGTTCACCGCTACAGCGTGTTTCACCTTTACCAGCGCTTTCGATCTTTTGATATTTTTATAAGAAGCCAGCAGCGTCCCTACACTCCATTACAGGTAGGGCTCTTACGGAAGCTCCACTACAATTCTTCGTTATGGGCACCATTGTGTAGGTAGAGGCCTAGGCTGCGGAACTCCAGAAGCTGGCCGAGGCAGCTCGTCAAGAGCCCTCGTACCGCGACAATATTCATTTCTTTCATGACATTGCGAATCACCATGATCCGAAATGAGCCCGGTAAGAAATTCTGGAGCTGCGGCAAGATTTCTTACCTCTCTTAGCGTATTCCCCTGGTCGAGCTAAATGTGCCACCTATCCTGGACCTTAAATCATCATCTTGATGACGAAATAATTAGACGATCAACTCCAACTCGAAAGTGAGGTCGCCTCCTTTCTCGACCCGCACTCCGCTGGGTTTTGGAAAAGGAGCATCAAGAAATTTTCTGAGCGTTGAAGACAAGTGGTGGACACTCATGGTAGATATAGACCGGTCAGGAGTTGTAAACAAAAAAGATAAAATTAAAATCAAAAATTTGAAAAAGTGTTGCAGGACTTTCTTTCCAACCTAATATTTAGAGCTCCTGAGTACGAATACTGCATTAGTTTGATACATACTGCGTGCATTATGGAGCTCGTTCTTGAGCCTTCTTCAGGGTTATCACCCATGCAATGGTTGTCTAGAGAGGGAGAACGGAGCTTTCATGCGAAACAATTATTAAACTGTTCTTTAACTTCCATTCGACAACTGTTTGCAGGTTTTTAGCGAATTTAGAGATTCAATTTGCTTGTTGTGCAGAAGAATGGACCGATCTGAAGAATCCACGACTGGATGTTGGGAACGGTTCAATTTCTCTGAGTTTTCGGCAAAACAAGGTTTCCTAACCATGCAAAAAATGTTCGCAAACATATTGCGCACACTTCTGAGCAAGTGCAAAAAACCTCGGCCGTCGAGGACCCACACCCTCGTCTTTGCAGAAACGAGATCGTCATAGTACCCACTAGCTCACTAGTTTACAAAAGAGCTGGCCATGCGTGTGTCATATTCGCGCTGAGCTTGGGTCTGCTTCGTGTTACAACAAGCTCTGTAGCTTCGTTCAGAGTACCTCTCAGCAGCCATGGAATGCAGATATGAAGTCCGCGTTTAGAGATCTCCCAGGTGATATGCATCCCATTTCAAATTACCCCTTCGATCTACCATCCTTCCCTTGCTAGTGAAGGCACCACAAGAACCAGGTGAAATCAGTCCCGTCACCAGCATTCGTGACAGATGTAAGGGGCGGGAGGGACTTTGAACGCGCAACAGTCCGAGTTTTTGAATTGTTCACCTGGAACAAATGCAATTTTTTTGTTCTTTTCTTCCTTATTTTGAATGATGGTCTCAAGCCTGTGATTTATGGGTGAAATAATATGTATAAAAGAATCATGACTTTACCATGACTTATACTTTTGAAGCTGCTAATACAGGGTTGCAATCATACTGGTTGCTGTACCTTCCAGCTCTCATCTGCTGTCGGGCAAAATTTGACAAAAGGCAGATCGCGACTGCATGTGTAACTCCGCAAATGACAGTTCATTGCGATGCTCGGCGAGTTCACCTTCACTCATGATGGAGAATTCATTGAGCCGATACAAAAGTCGTGCGAGTCCCTCTCGTAAATGAAAGGGGATGGAAAGTCAGGAGCCGGCGCACATCATATACGATCACTGTTTTAATAAACGATAGAAATTCGTACCAGCGCCGTCATAACGGTCGTGGGATACTGTACCCGAGGGCGTTTAACATCTGGAGAGTTTCGAGACTGAGTGCTTTGTGGTGATTCATCTATTGGACGCTTTCGACCGCCGTTAGACAATAAATCTGGAACGAATACCCTTTGGGTATACTTGGTAATAAAGATGTAAATCTACGAATACATAAACATGGCTTACTGGAGTGAAGCTCTCTCCATGGTTTCGAACGAATGCTTCTCACCACCAGATCACCCACATTGAGCACAGAAATGATGTGTGTTAGTGCCGGAGCTGCTTAATACCGAAACTTTGACATTCTCCAAAGATGGTGTAATTAAAAGGTTATTGTATAACTGTACAGAAAGAAGCGACAACGACTAGAGAGGCTATACTCCAAGATCAGGGCTCAAAGCTCAACAGTTTCCCGTCATCCTAGAAGTGGGCGAAGGTTCTAAGTACGCGTCCCAGCCTTTTAAACTAACCTACAAGTTGATTGGTGATTTAGGGGGATTGGACAGGAATAATAAATTAATAATAGCAGACTATTATCAGAGCAAGGAAGAAATTTTACCCATTCAATCGATTTCAATTATATCGTACAAACTCAAACTCTACGCTAAGAATTTTGGAAAATTATAAACTCGTTATAAAATAGGTCGATCCGCCACAAGCTTCATGAGTTATGGGCACAGCGAAACTTGTATGTTCACAAAAGTCTTGAAAAATGTTCGAAGGAGGACACAATACTAGTCTACATACTCGGCGATATGCAAGTGTAAGAGGTTCTATGCGCAAACCAGCGATGCACTTGGGCGTCAGCGTGGTAGTAAGGAGACCGTATCCTGTGCACCGTTGTAATCCATTATATCTTGTCCCTCCCCTAGGCTAGGGAAACAAAAAATCCCTTCGAACTTTCTTTGCCTTTTCAACAAAAATCGGCCCTAAAAACTACACAGTTGTAATCCATAACACATATGTGTGTAAAAGCAGACAAGTGCAGAAAGTAAGGGAGAAGTGTTGTTGGAGACAAATCAATTTAAAGGACTCTTTTGTTCCCCTAGCCTGGCGAAGGATGAAGGAGCACTTGATTGGAAGCACAAAATCCTGTCCCTGGAATACAGCCCTGGGACAGGATTTTGTGCTTCCAATCATATGCTCGATGAGGTCCTTCCACAGTTGGCATCAGCATAGTACGTATTCGATATGAGCTTACCCCAAAAGAGACCACCAGTATTTGCAGCACGTTTTACACTGCGGAGGCATTCCAGCAGCGGATCAACAAACTGATCTACGAGACCGAATTTACTCATCTCGTTCCAAAAGAAGATCGGCTCTGAAAAGATGATCGTGATTAAATGAGAACGACTCCGGGAGATCAGACTTTGGCAGACAGTTCCGAAAAGTCAGTAGCAGAGTCACTTATCACTATCACTACTCCATATCTTGTCTGTGAGAACAATCACAATGAAATGCGCTCTGGTCGAGATCAACCACACACTCACCGGCATTTTCCTTCGTGTGTTGACACATCCTTAACTAGGATGAGCCTTAAACTACAACGCAATAGAAAGAAATCCAGAACACTGCTTCAGGTTGCTGCTTGCCATGCACAAGGAAGGAAGTGATGTTTGCTCAGAATAGGGCCATATTTACGTCTTTTCAGTGGTTCTTCCTAATAATGCACCAATGCTCACTACGCGACGCAGCCGTGAATACTGAATATTAGGGCTCGGGAATGTGATATTCAGGAGCCTAGGGCTAGTGCTTCCCGTTCCGCTTCCACAGCTGTGATTGATAACCATTCTTACTCATCCTCTTGAAACCACTATTTCTGTTCGCAATGACCAGCAGGAACAAATGATCCCTTTCATGTTTCAAATGTTCCAATTTTGCCGTCCGGCATTGACACATTAGTTGTGACAGGCATGCTAAAGTGCCGATCAATGATTATCCTATATTAAATACCCTGCCTCAAAGAAAGCGATTACGATAAAGAGGGAGCGCATCGGGGAAGCATATGCACCACACGAAGCAGTTACTTGGCTGCCAAGGAAGCGAGGTGTGGCGCTTTCACGACGAAAGGTGCGCTGGTTGCTGAGCAGGACTTTGAAAGCACTCCGCCTCCAAAAGCGATCCATCCACTAGAACTATTTGGACGAGCTGTGCCGCCAGAAAGTGGAGCGACTCGGCTGGAGCATGGTTTGGTACAGTGCCTCCAGACCAGGGTCAACCCTACGTTGTTACGAGTAACAACGGGGGGGGGTCGTACCTGGTTGAGTTTGTAGGAGGGGGGGTCGTACCCACTTTAGTCGCTCGAAATCACGTGTGGGATTGAGGTGAAACTAAGATTTCGTGGGTAGTAGGCTGGGCGAGAGTATAGGTAAAAAATGGGTTGAAATGGTGGAAATAGAAGGAAATTTTCGGAGATATTTACCGTTTCAGAGTGACTATACCCCCCGCTCGACGGCATTTTTAAAAGTGGGCGGGGTTTTGATGGAAGATGGAGATGGTGGAGGTAGGGAAAAGGGGGTCGTATCAAATCCACCTTGGGGGAGGGGGGTCGTAAAAATTTTTCGAAAAGTAACAACGATAGGACAGACCCTGCTCCAGACGTGTTGCAGTAAACACGTCCACATGTACGTCGGCCGTCTTAAAACAACAGTCCCAGCAGGGTGGGAGTGGTCGGAAACGGCTGCAATCCCCTTGGCCGATTCCCACTGTTCGGCCCCTAATCAAGAGCTTAAAAAGTGCTTAAGAGTGCTAACTTAAGAAGCCGATTCCGACCACTCCCATTTCAGTTCCCTGCCTAGCGGCTTTCCAAGGTGAGTTTTTGTTCAGTCACACTTCTTACGTTCTTGACTAGGGGCTGAACAGCTCCGAAGTGGGAATCGGCCAAGGGATTGCAGCCGTTTCCGACCACGCCCACCCTGCTGGACTGTTGCTTTAACCGCTGACCGCCCTTGAGCTAACTGCTAACGGTCAAACGAAGGAGTTCTCTTTTCATGCTGCCACCAAACGCGTTGAGGTGAACTCGTTCATACGTTCGCTTTCTGAGCTGTTACCTGTTCATGAGTGAAAACCAACGGCAAAAAGGGGTCCCGTTTTGCGTTTTCTTGACGGATTTCTCTGCTTTTTTCGCCACTGGCGTACCATTGAGCACCACCACGTCCTCTCTGAAACTCCTCTACAGAATATCGTAATGGCTGCCTTTGAGGTGCTATTCGAGCGGCACTTCATCAATTGAATGATCCTATGGACTAGGAAGTAGTGATGATGAAAGAGCCACTTATCATTCGGAAGTGTTGAAACATGCGTTACTGCCGATACCCGTAGGGTACCGTAAACTTTTCGCATGGAAATGGTGGGGGTGTTATTATATCATAAATGCGCTGTAAACAAATATAGGGAAATCGGCTCACCCGTCATCATCAACCGTAGCATTTGCTCAGTTATCGCTGCGGGCCATTCTCGCTTCACTTTTGTTGCACCGTCCATGAGTTCGTCGACACCATGCCGTAAAGTGGAGTTGATCGACGACAATGTGAACCGAGACAGTGCATCGCTGTTGCTGTTATGGTGGTTATTGTTATTATTGATAGTGATAGTATCACCAGTAGATGCATGGGCTGTGATGGCGTTGGTGTTGCTCCCAATGTTCGCGAAACCGTGTAATCCCATTAAATGTGACGCGTTGCCACCAGCTGAAACGAAACGTATTTCGAGACGTGCACGAATCACAATAAAATCGGGCGATATATGTAGGTGTTGTGACATCTAGCAGCTCAGTTTTTGGGTTGACTGGAACTTAATTCAAATTCTTGTTCTGGAATGGTATTTAAGTTATATTAAAACGAACCCAGGTTGTCATCATTTGAAGTGAAAAGACCAGGGTTGAGTAGTTCTGCCACTTTTCTGAAAATGGTGAAAGTTTAACTGATGTTTCTGATGTTTCTATTAATTCGTGAAGATGTGAAAGTTTCCTTGACACATTTACTTATTATTCATGCATACTGTCAAAAGACTGTGATGCCGTCAGAAATAAATTTACCATCTAACTCGTGCAGAACATTCACGTGTAAGGACGAAACTTTCTTGTTCCTGGGTTGGCCAACGCTCGCTTGGACGATTAGCGCTGAGGATCTAAAGGAGCTCCACGTGCCCCACCCATATTTTTCTCCACATCTTTGGCATTGAACAGGACTATTGTGCTTGGAATCGAATTCCAAATGTACTGTTCCGACGTACTACCTTTAATCCAGGAGGATGCATAGAGAATCGGGAGATTGGGAACGTTGCGTCAGCTGATTCTGGTTTGAGTAGTTCTAATATTTGCGATGTGCAACACCTTCAGTAAATGGTGAAGCACTTCACAATTGAGTCTGGGCCAGGAACATGAGAGCCGGTGTGCCCACACACACCTTTGAGGGACGATTAGCGCTGAGGAATACTCGAAAACTAACATGGCATAAAGCACGAGGAGGCTTGGTCCACTACGAACTATGGGTTACTCCTACTTTTTTGGGGAATAAATTAATGGATTTCACCTTGTTACCGGTACAAGCGCTGCACCGTATACTACAGTTCATGATCTACACATACATCTTTTAATGGCAACTATCCACCGAAACAATTACGGAAGAGGAGTAAATTTAGAAGTTGAATCAAATCCATCAGAAACCTCAGCTACTGAGCCCGACCTTAGTCGAAAGCGGAACTACCGTTCCAAAAACCAAACAGATTTGGGACACATAGCCTTGCCTTACTCATCACATTTGTTGTAGACCGGTCATAGACCTTCTTGATGAGCCGCGACAATACTGGAGTAGAAATGGTTTTCAAGACAAGCCCAAGTGGAATACAGATTCAACGACTACATTGGCTCCAAAACTGCAAACTTCCGTGCAAGAGGAACAGTCCTGTCTTGTCTCTTGTCCAAGAAGATGTGCACACTCTAATAGTTTTTACTGCCATTGATAATGTTTGCGCTTAGCTGAGATATGTCGTTTTAGAAATAAGGTTCAGAAAGGGTCATCCATTTCTAGAAAACTTAATGATAGTGCCCTAATCATGCATTTTGAGTGGCGAAAGTCGCACGAACTCTGTACATCGGAAAGACACGTTCACTTGCGGCATACTTCTTACCATCAACCTAATTTCCCGGCTAGCCTTCAAATTTTACTGTGCTTTAGAACACAACCGACAATGGCATTGTAGTCAAAAGTTCGCTTCTTAATGACAGTAGCAGAATGATCAAGCCACCACGGTTTGAGCGACGGTCAGTGGCATGTCCACAATTGCTGTTTGCTTCAGCAATGCTTCTAAAGCTCTTTTTCTTAAATCTTTTTATTTAATTTAATCTAGGGCATTAAAATCAGGAGGCTGCCTCTGCCATTCAAGAAATTTTGGTTATTGCTGTCGGGAAGCCATCTTCATGTAAAATGAAATGCGTTTCTAGAGATTCACCTGATATAAGATCCATTCTGTTAGCTTGCTTTGTTGTGTTAAAGTCACTAAACCGTTCACGAGCGTGCTTCTTCAAGCTCCTTGTCACTTTAGTCAATGTTAGGTAATGGGATATTGAATGGCGTAATAGATTCCATTAAAGCAACAGTCCAGGCAGGGTTTCAACTACTTGGTCATTAGGCGGTCAAAACATGCCCCAGCCCAACTAAAGTTTATAGGAAATGTCTTTAAGTTCAAAACCTACCTCTAAAATGCGCTGGAAGGGGTCGAAGTCCTCTTGGAGGGGGCGGATCACCTCATACCGAGGCGGATCGTTCAACATACGCTGTGCAGAGTCCATGCTTGACTAGCGGTCGTTGCGGGACCGCCGCGACCATTTGAGGTCTATCCTTTGAAAATTCGATGCCGAATGTATTTGATTTTCAATGTGTCCCCTTCGATTCAAGGTTTCATTTCAGCGTGCGCTTCAATTACAGTTGCTAGCAATCAGCCAAGTATTTGCAAGCAATCGCAATTGAAGCGCATTACTGCGAGCAGATTTCGGACAACTCGTCCAACACACGTCTCCCTAAACGGCAGGGGGTGTCCCTGTCTAAGCCCCTGTTGGACGTTTTTCTTCACTTTTTCTTTTTCCATTCGACAACTTTCACCTACAACTTCATTATAGGTGCTTTTAGCCCGCAAATTCGTTCCTGGATTGTTGCTTTAAGTGATATAATGCGCTGGACCACCATCTATGCTGTACTCGATCGAGAGTTTTATGAAGTTTGCAGAGTCCTATAGTTGCGGAAACGTCGTCGTGGTTACGTAGTTCCATTAATTTCAAATAAATGGCACTTAACTTCTTTGATGAAAAGATCTTGCTCAAGTCAACCAATTGCGTGCAAGGCTGCATGCAGGAGCCTATCGAGATCATTGGTTTGTTGGTGCAATAACGCCATCCCTCTTAATGAACTTAAGCAACAGTCCCAGCAGGGTGGGCGTGGTCGGAAACGGCTGCAATCCCCTCGGCCGATTCCCACTTCGGAGCTGTTCAGCCCCTAGTCAAGAACGTAAGAAGTGTGACTGAACAAAAACTCACCTTGGAAAGCCGCTAGGGAGGGAGCTGAAGTGGGCGTGGTCGGAATCGGCCGAGGGGATTGCAGTCGTTTCCGACCACGCCCACCCTGCTGGGACTGTTGCTTTAAGGACAACCTCGACGGCAATGTGATGGACACAGGGTTTCAATCGACGGATTATGCATCAATCTTGCTCGAATGGAGTGGTCTTCCCTTCCTCTAAGCATCGCATACAGAAGTTCTAAAGTGGCCACATTAAAGATACTCCATCTTCATGGAATTCTGACGAACATCTATGAGTAAAGTAGTAGCAGTGGATAAAAAGGAAGACAGAAAATAAGATGAGGATGGAAAAAAATGCATGTAGGCTTGGCCATGGAACCGGTCAACCACATGTGTTGCGAAGGAACTTCTAGCTAATCAATCAGATTCTTACGAAATGGTTTTGTGAAACGCTCATGATGTGCCGCGGGAAGACTTATCAAAATTTCATATGATTTGAACAACTGAAGAAAGTAACAGCTGAAAATGTGTTTCGCCAAATGCGCTGGGTTACTGATTCATTTCAATCTATGGGCAGCAGCTAAACAGTGTGGACCGCAACGCGTTTGGTGGCACCATGCCAAATCCATGTTCCATCGAGTTGCTCCAGTTGTGCCGCTGCTGGCAACACAGCTCGTCCAAATCACCAACTAAACTAGTGGGCGGATCGCTTTGGGGGCGGAGTGCTTTCGAAGTCTGCTCAGCAAAAAGCACACTTATCGTCGTAGAATCGTTACAACTCGCTCCTTGGCAGCTAAGCTACTGTCTTGTGCGGCTCGTATACCTCCCTGATGCGCTCCCATCTGCATTCTTCGATTGTTTTGAGTCCGAACTGGGCTTTCTATTCCTCAACTATTTTGTTACCGTATGTATGGCGTATCCTTTAGTATATGTAAGCTTCAGCGAACGTTGGCCACTAGCCACGAAGTGAGTGAAAATCAGCAACAAAATTTTTTCCAAAAGATCGCTCACCTTCGTTCATCTGGACCCTTTTCTTTTGGTACCATATAGTTGCGACTCTGACACTTTCCCGAGCAGAATTGCGAATGGTTAAAAAAGTCAAAAGAGTGCATTTCCATCAATGATCTGTAACAGTCACAGCGATACCATGATAGTTCTGAAAATGGGGACCTTTTCAGAAGTCAACACTTGAGTTTAGGAATTCGTTGGTTTTCAGGCAAGACCTTACGCATGCTGTGGATCACCGTGGGCATAACATGCTATTGTTTTGAGGTCTGGTTTTTTGGGGAACAAAATCACCCAAGTTTGCCACAGGTGTAGTTTACTGTATTGTGTACTATGCAGCTGATCGGAATCTAAGAAGACTTCTTTTAGGGTCCAGGTTACCATATAATAAATACTCGTTTAAAGGCAAGATTCGGGATAAAATAGGTGTGGAAAAGCGTTCAGTTATGAAGCTAGAGGTGGGAGGTGGTCTGGAAAAGAGAAGGAAAGCAAACGAAACCACCGATTACGCCCCGTACAGAGACCTCCCCTATTTCAGCCGCATTCCACCTTGGGATAGAGAAGGGGCGCGTTGGACGAGTTTCACGAACCTAACTCTAGTTGCTCCAGTGCCAATGACATTGGATCGCAATGGGACCGCTCAAATGCGCCCGCGCTTTTCAAGCAGCGCCACGTGGCAACCGACAGCGGAGGGTGGGGCTTGCGGACGAAGGTGTGAGTTGCGGGTCGGACGAGCTCCTTGCGCCTTTGTCGCGCACTTTCAAGCGGCAAAAGGGGCGCGACATCAACGCTTGTCCGCCTGCCTACTACCCCCGGGATGGAACAGGCGAGCGCGCCTAATCGCGGAGCGTGCCTTTAAGGAACTTCCTTAGCACTCACGCACAATCCAAATCGTGTATTTATGTCACACGATATCGGCCATCATGGATTTGAAGAATATCTCAGGAATATTCCCATGAGAAGCTCCCAAAGCAACACACACCGTTTTTGCTGAATTGAGTTCCCATCTACTCGTTGGATGTCATATGATGATCGTCAATAGCTTTGAATTTTGACGCACTACTATTGCTTGAGGTGGCAGCTTTTAACAAGAGATGCTGCGAAGAAAATGTTTGATACCGAAGGTAAAGGAGCTGTGGCCATGTAGTATGTACGTTAGTAGCCACACATTAACCTTAGAGAAGCGTACTGCGGACAATTTCGAAATTAAACGGATGGAGTTCTGAGTTTAACACGTTGACGACATCGCGCGTTTTGGGTTTTTGCACCTCGTGGGACAAGGGCGCTTTTGCGAGCGCGGCCGTCACACCTCACACCCGTAAATTTCGAACGATAACTTTGGGAAGCTTCAAAGGTACGAAACCATTTCAGCAATATTCAATGCGTAGAAAGTAATCGAAGATATAGTAGCGAAATTCCGATCAAAAAACGTGAAATGGTAAAGAAAATTGGAATTCAAGTCCTTTTCTCTGTAGTGGATGCCAAAACTATTTTCGATGTGGATGTGTCAAGTGAAACATATATCTTTCTATCCCTTTAAGTTTGTATTTACTTTCACTACCCTTTTCTCACTGACATGTTCATGAGAATAGGAAGAAAACGAGGGATGAACCGAGCTGCCAATTCCGCTGTGCTTAAAAACTTCTGCTAAACTGGAGCATATTTGATCATACCGTGACCCATGTCGTTTACAGTTATGTTATGTTGTAATCCATAGAATAGAGGCAAGCAAATTGGGAAGAATCCCCGCATACGCTAGAAAAAGGGATGACAAGGGTGAGACGCGCAACCGCGTCTCAATGTCCAACGAGGTGCGCAAAGTGAGACGCGTTACCGCGTCTCAATGTCGTCAATGTGTTAACTTTTGCGTGTTTGGCTCTCATAGGACGATGTTCATTCCTTAATTTCACCGCACAGAAGATATTTGGGTGGGGCTGTCAAAACTTTTGACATTCTGAAATAATCATTCACTTGGTTTTCAAGGCGTCTGGTGCTGTTACGTTGCAAACCAAACAAGATCCTCAAGAAGCCTGCAACAAACACCATTGCAAATATATACAGTTTAGCTGCTACGAACGCTTGGTTCCGACGCGGAAGAGAAGATTCTTTTGTTATCAAGAACGATATTGAATGTGGGGAGGTGCGACGGACTCTTATACATTGAACCCGACGTTTGTTTCCCATGATAGTGACTGGGTGCACTTTTTGGCAGGTAATCACCAGAAGATATCCCGTGACGAATGCAGTTAGCGTAGAAAAGCTCAGCTCTCCAAGTAAACTGGAAGGAGAGTGGAGCTAGACTAGGGTGTTTTCTAAATTCTGTATGCCGATATTTTTCACTGATTGTTGACAGTCGAGTTAGCATTAAAGGCAAAGTTCGGGCTCAGACCCACCTAATAAGCCCTTAAAGTGGCTAGAAGTGCATGGGACGCAACTGCAGGCGACTCGCCAAGTTCCCGCATCGAAATGCGTCACTAAGGCGCTAGGGGCCAAGGACTTTGACACGCTCCACCTGTTGCGACACGCTCCGCCCACCGCTCGATATCTTGTCTGCGTCGCAATGTTGATCTGCTATGCTCTCTCTTCTCGGACTTCTCTACCGCTCTCCGCGCTCACATTATCTCTCATCTCCCTGCCGGCCTTTTGAACTTCTCCGCAGCGTAGAGCAAAAGGCTCGTATTTCCTGTGTATTTCAGGATTTTTTTCCTTTTTTCTCCACTGGCGGTCCACCTCCCACCCCTACATCACATTTGAGTAGAATTACCTCATCAGTTTAAGCTTGAATTTTGCCTTTAAATAGGTTAAGCACCAGAGATTGTATTTCAAACAAGCTCAAGCTCAAAATCTCACACATTATCGAATCCGGAAACACTGAAGGATTTTTCAGCGTTCACCAAAAATCACAACTCCTCTGACTTTTGTTTCCGAGGCATATTATTCGCGGTCTTTGGACCTGAGCGGCGGCATTTTCGGTGGTCTGTCATTGTTTTTTTATACAATTCAGATAGTTTATTTTGTCCTTCCTTCACTTTTCGACTTAAGCTGGCCCTTCTAATTATATCTCTGGATTCAGTGCTGAAGATTCTAGCGCTTGCTGCTTCTTTCGTTAGTTACGCTTTGTTGAGCAGTTCTCGTGTTTCTATCGATCTGTGTGCGTTAGGCTATCCTATTGATCATGGCACGAAAGGTAGGTCGTAAGAAACAATATGAAACAAGGTAGCCCCAACGATTCGATGGTTGTTGAACAAAATGATTGCGCCATGAATTCGAATGCTTCTGAATCAGTTGTTGATTACACTTCCTTTTCAGCTAGCCAGCTCATCAAGGAAGTTTTGGACCGCAACACTGACCCCCTTATCCAGAGGATACTTCTAGTACTTGCTGATAAAATCACCAATGATGTTTCAGAGTTTGTGGAGACCGATAAGCGGTCACGAAGCATTGTTCTGAGTGGAATTGAGGAAGCGCCGTCCCATTTACGACCGTCCGAGAGGTAGAAAGATCTGGTGACTAAGGTCTCTGATGTGTTGGATTCTCTCAAGCGTTTCTTTTGGCGCACTGCACTCGCTAATGCGAAATTTTTGAAGACTTCTGGGTTCGCGACTTTCGCTTTATTGGGCAGAGAACAAAGCCTCCTCCTATACTACCCGTGCTCTCTGATCCCTCCGGCTCTCTCTTCTTAAAGGCAAAAGTCAGGCTCGTGTTTGGGCATTATGGCGCCTGAAATTGAGTGTAGAGATGGGAGGTGGAACGACAGTGAAGAAAAAACGCAAAGAAACCGTCGACAAGACCGAAATCGAAACCCCTTCCTTCTAGCAGTGAAGGAGGCTTGCTCGGGGGAGAGCCACGTCCAAACGAGTTTTCCGGATATGCCAGCCGTTCCATCGGTTGATACGGCAATCAACCTAGCTGATCTCACACGTTAGGCCAGCCACGCACCACATCCCGCGGTGGGCGGGACCAGCTGATGAAACGAACCCATCGCTGTAAGTAGTAGGCCAGAGGCCTTGACGGCGCGCAATCTCGAGTCAGGAGTGTGGCATCACCCCTCTGAGCGCATTCCTGGAAATATTAGTGATGGAAAGGCCTTCTATGGTCACCTAATCCTGACTCGTGGCTTTAAATGATGAGGAGAAAGCTACGGCATTAGGAGCTTATTTTGCTAGTGTTTTCTCTTTCGATATTGCTGAAGACGAGATTCCGATGTGCAGCAAATTCCGTATCAACCACCGTCTCTCAAATATATACTTTCATCCCCATGACGTTTTCAAGATTCTTGCCAAGCTAAAGCCATCACTGGCCGAACCGTACGATGGCATTCCTCAGATAGTCTACCGGAAATGCGCTCGTTCATTATGTCAACCATTAGCGCACATTTTTAATATATCGATGCTCCTTGAAGAAGTACCTGCCATCTGGAAGGAATCCTTAGTATCTGCCATCCCTAAAAGTCCAACGGCCATCTCTTATCTGATTTCCGGCCTATCAGTATCACGCCAACTGCTGCTAAGGTCATGGAGAAACTGATCAGAGATAAAATTCTAGCATGGATTCAGAGATTCAAGGTTATACCGGAGGAACAGCATGGCTTTTTGAGTGGGGCCTCAACAACCTCCAATCTCCTGGATGCCCTCTTTGATTGGACCACTGCCCTGAACAATGGCAAAGTTGTTGATGTAGTTTTCATTGATCTTTCAAAAGCCTTCGACAAAGTGAGCCATTCGAAGCTTATCATGAAGATGAACTACCTTGGCATCAGTGGGCCGCTGTTAGGCTGGTTCAGATCCTACTTCAGGGATAGGCATATGACAGTTAGAGTCGGCCGTTCCTTTTCTAAGCAATATAACTGCTACAGTGGAGTCCCTCAGGGAGGTGTGCTGTCCCCCTTACTGTTTCTCATCTACACTATCGATCTCCCAGCTTTTTTAAAAACTTCGAGTTATGTTAACACTCTGATTTATGCGGATGATATCAAGATCTACGCATCATACAACCACGATTGTCGCGATGAAGCTCAATTTGCCCTCAAACAATCTATTGACAAGATGGCTAAGTGGGCTAATCAATGGGGTCTACAGGTTAATCTTAGCAAATGTTCTGTTCTGCACATTGGAACCAGCTTCCGCTGAGTTATGAAGTCGATGGTACTGAGCTTGCTCTCCGCTCCTCTACTAAAGACTTGGGTGTTCTTTTCGGCTCGGATCTGAAATTTTCTGCTCACATTGACGAGGTGGTTAATAAGGCATTTGCTGCGTTGTTTCTCGTTTTGCGTAATGTCCTAAGCAAAGATCATAAGGTATTGGTGCGACTGTATAAGGCCTATGTTCTCCCACACCTCGAGTACAGCTCCCAAGTGTGGAATCCAGCCTTAAAGAAGGACATTTCGAAATTAGAAAAAGTTCAGCAAACTTTCACCAGAATAATGTTTCTCAGACTGTTTCCGAAAACTGAATACAACCTTATCCCTGGTTATGAGGAACGCCTAAAAATGTTTGGTTTAATGAGTCTCAGACACAGGCGAATTATCAATGACCTCACGCTGTGCTTCCGAATTATCCGCAATGAGATTAAACTTACACCTAGCAAATACTGGGTTTTCCGGCCAAGTAGTGCAAGATCAAATGGTTTTACCCTACAGTGTAAGAGAGTTCGGAGAATGACTAGTTCCTTGGTATATAATTCGTTCTTCGTTCGGACTACAAGGTGGCTGGAGAAGCTTCCTCGAGAAGTACTACGTTCTAGCAATGGTAAGGTTTTTAAATCTAAATTAAGGAACATCAATTTATTTCAGCTACTTGATTTACACAGTTGAAGCCCTTCACTTGTCTCTAATTTGCAGGTTGACAGTAGCTGTCTATGCGATTTACGAAATTTCCAAATAAGTCAGAAAACTGAAAAAATCAGGGGGTGGCACATACAATTGACGCGCACTGTACTGTACGGGGCCGCCCCAAACGCATTTTTCCATGCGCTCCCTTGTCTCCGTGCGATCTAGCCATGAGCGCCCGCACAGTGCGGATTTCGTAGGTTTGTTTCTCCTCGAAAACTGTATTTTCTCGCGTGAATCTTTCTACGTCATCTCCAGTGATCACGGCCGGCGTAATCATGTTAAGTATGAACGTAAGAATTCTTCATGTCCGATTCTTTTAAGAACCATTGGCATCAACTGACTGATGCGGACAAAGTATGCCATGCCTATTCGAGAGCTATATGTGCTGAAAACGCTTTGCTTCTTCACAGTTTACTTCTTTCTGTAGACAATGCTGGGCATAAAAGTCGCAATGAGCATATGACCGTACACTGGTGTGTACTTGATAGAAACTTGATAGAAAAAAAGGTGGGAAAAATCGCATAACTAATTAGCAATCAATTGAAATGTGGAAGCATGCTGTCCATTATCTTCCGGCCTGCATGAAGTGTCGCAACTTAAGGTATCTTTCGGCCTGCATAAGTTACGCAACTTAGGGCACCTAATAGAATGAAAAAAGACAAAGTGTTCCAATCAATGAACAGTTACGGATCACTGTGATGGCGTATCCTATCACAATATTGACCGGAGAATACAAATGAATGTTACGTTCTGCAGCAGGCAAGAGTGGATCCACGTCAGTCAATGGCTGCATGTGTGACCACATATGACAGAATTGTAAGACCCGCATCCCAATGGCGACTAGTGGCACGTTCACCGCATACGATCATCCCTCCAGAGGTGATCTTTCGGCCCGATGACCTCCTTTGTTCCGTCAACATTCGTGCATTAGCGAGACCATTCGTTAAAGCGCCGCCAGAGTAGAAAAGGGCCAACGGGGAGGATCGGGATTCTTTTCAAGTGAGGGCAGATTCAATGAAAATAGGTATTCCGACTTCGTATGACAAGAAGTGCGAGCACGTAACACCCAGAGCATTATCAAACATAATCGTTGGTGGTTCAAGTGCTACCGTGTATAGGCATAATGTTGCACTGTGATCTGTCTTCCTGACTTTTGAAAGTGGTACGCTCCCTGGTCAGCTTTTTCAGCGCGAATTGCTTCTAGGGTGCGTTCGGCCGTAGTTATTTTAAAGAGGACAATGTGCGACCGCACTGCACAGATGAGGTAAGGAACTCTTGGGACGAGAATATATTGGTCTAGTCAAGTTTGCTCGCTCCCCTGACTGAAATTCCCTCAAACATGTGCGGGACACATTTGAGAAAATATCACGGCACGTCGACATGAACAATAACGGCACTGGTCAGTTGCGTTTATGAAGAATGGAGGACCCCTTCACAAGGACTCCTTTTGACCTTTGCGGCCAGTATGGGAGCACGCTGCACAGCACACAGTCATTCGTAGCTCAGACACTCTATTGAGAGCCGGGTTCGTGTCTTTTGGAGGATCACATGAATTGTGATAAGTCCAGTGTGGTCACTTTTTTGGAGGAAGGCGTTATTTCTGCTCGTCCCATTGCTTATTTCTGTCAGTCGCCCTCTGAAGTATACTGTAGCAGTCCTTTCTATGTATCGCATTAGTTTCGGCAAGCTACGTTACTTGGAAATGTCTGATGCGAAGGTAGATGAGCCCAAATGTTTTGCACACCAGTGTACTATTCCGTGTCATATACCGATCATACAGCGAACCTATATGACAACTGGAGGATTTGAAACCGTTCTCTTTTATTTTGTCGAACCGCCGAAACTCGTTGTGGTTGGGTTGAATGCTAAGTAGGTTTAGTGTTTTTGCAAGGACTCCACCATTCAGACATCGAGGGTAACGGACCCCCCTCCCAGACTCCTACTTCGGTGGCGATCTGGCAGGAATCATTCCTTACCTGGTTCGACAAAGCCAAACTGTACCTTAAATTCGTTCTTCCTACTTTTATGCTGCCCTTCCAGTCTTTCTGTTTGGTTCTATTTGCTTTCACAGTGAACTCCTTTGGCGTGATCATTTCTTCTGAAATAAGGCCTTCCAATTGACATTGCTTCTGTAGAGTCAAAGAACCACTAATAACCGACTTCCAAACTCGATGCACCGCTCGTTGATGCCAGGGCAGCGAAACAATTTCACATGCATTTTGGCAACTAGCGCTCCACATCTCACCTGAACGACCTAACATTAAGTTGTAAAGTTGTATATTATTCAGAAAGAGACTTTGAAAGAGTGGTTTCGTTAAAATACCTCAATCTGGTATGCTTAATAAATTGGGACTTGAAGTCTAGACAATCTAAAGTAAATGTTCGGTAGAAAGAAAGAACTTGGCCTGATAATGGCGCTTCCACTTTCTTTTGATTTTAATTGATTTCCTATTGTTCTTTAGAGGCGCAGTATGCGATAGTAATGCAGCCTACTAGAAAAAAAAAGACTAGGTGCATAGTGGTGCAGGAATGAGGAATGGAAGTGGCCTAGAACCCGAGAAATTGGACCCTTCTTTGCCCGTCGATTGCTGCCATGATGCGACTCTCGTAGACGCTGCCCTCTTTAGCGCTAATGCTCTCCGCGTTAAACGGCCGAGCTCAGACGACGAGGGAGTGAGCATGCATTGTCTCGAGCGGCGTGGATGTGGCTAGTCTGCTAAGGCACGGATCGCTGCGAAACGGACATCGTACCACACCCTCAGGGATCCGCCTGCCTATTTGCCCTGCTTCAACCTTGTCGCTGGTCTACCTTCAATCTCGATCAATTGTATTGTACGTTCCGCATGTCCACTTATTCCCAACGCTGAGGTAGCTTGCTCATAACTTGATAACTTGACTTCATAGAACTCAATTTCTATTGGGTTGACCCATAATTTCTGGCCGATTTTTGTTCAAATTCAATTTTCTTCATGTCAAATTAGCTTCATAATGAAATAAGTGATATGTTGAAGAACACATCAGGACCTTCAGCCAGGATGTTTCAGAAGCTCAAATGAGCAACGGGATAATTAGTAGGAATTGAAATAGATCAACGACCAAACTCAACAATTATGCCTTACGACAATTTAAAGAAGAACCTTGCAAGGAGCGCGGTAGGCAAGATCAGCGCTATGTTTGCCCCAGTCTTTGCTACTGATCGGGCACTGAGCTATTGGCTCAATAGCATCGGCAAAGACGATAGGAGCTGCAAAGTTCGACCTCATCATGGACCTCCAGTCACTTTCGATGAGGACCCCTTGCGCAACGAATAGGAAGTGCATCCGGACGCTATTAGCAGGAAACTGTAGCAAACATCTGGACGCAGCCTACGCTCCATGAGTCGACACCTGAATGGAATGGGCTGTAGCAGAATGAAGTCTCGATGGAAACAGCATGCATCGACTGACCATGACCGAGAAGCACGCCTGACCATCTGCAGAAGTTTCATTCTGCGACCGTATAGACAGGACATTCCCTAGTTGGTCACCAGTGCAGATGAGTCATGAGTCCACCACGATAACAACACGCGGCACGCCTGGTGGCTACCTCGCAGCCTGGACCCACCATCTCAACCAAAGCCCGAGCTCTTTCATCAGAGGATATTACCCCGGTTTGTTGGATTCGCTGGGTATCCCGTTTTGAGAACCATTTCACTTTATGCAGACAAGCATTGCGAAGGTAACCATGGAATAGCTCCCGAAGTTGGCCGCAGCAGTGCGGGAACGGTTCGAAACGTCTCAAAATCTCCTTCCTCCAAATGAACGCCCGGCCTCACATTGCAAGGATAACTCGCCACGTTTTGAGGGAAACTGGCTGGACCACGATACCACATCTGACGTATAGCCTGACATTGCTCCATCGTACTATCACCTCCCCAGCGCCTGAAGCAGCAGCTACGAGAGAAAAAGCTCAGTGAATACAACCATCCCAAAACGACCTCTCCGAACTCTTCATCCACAGCTTCACTCGTTCTGGGAGGAATGCATCCATTCGTTCCCTAGCAAATGGATGCATATCAGTGATTATGATGGTGGTTATATTTTTAAGATTGATTCTCAGAAAAGGAAAATCTTGAAGAGAAGTCGAAATTCGGCCAGAAATTATGGGTTAGCCCAATATTTTATCCTCTGGACAGCCAACTGCAAATGCTTGCGAGCCATCTACAACAAGATGGACATGTCGTCTCTTCAGTTCACTTACCCTCCCTTTCAAAAAACGAGAAAAGCGTCGGGTGCAGACCATACACCACAAGTGACGACGGCCTCCAAGTAAATCTGGTTAGTAGTGGTTCATAGTGATAGCTGATTTTTGGTAAATGATAGTTGTAATTAGTGACAACTGATAGAATACAACTGCAACAGGCTAATCATTTCATTGGCAGAAAACATTACATTTTGTAAGGCCGTCGTCACTTGTGGTGTATGGTCTGCACCGAGACTTGCCCGTTTTTTTTAAGGGACGGTACAATTACCATACTTCATCTGAAGGTAACTGTCATGCAGCAGGTCGAAATAGGCTTATCAGGAAAGTCATTTATCAGCACGCCCAAATGAGATGCACTGAACATTTCGGTACGCATCTTGGGATGCAGAGTTCAATGTCATTATATGCTGAACTCTTTTCTGGAAGAAGTAATGTATGATTTTCTTTGTTCTGTTCCTTTTCTGTTCAGTGTCTTCCACCAATCATATGTGGGCGCCGTTATCAATGCCACGAAGAAGCTGCGGAGCGTGCTTCAGTGGCACAGTTGGTAGCAGGGTGACCAACGGTCGAGGAATTCCTATAAAAATACTACCTCCAAAAGAGCTCGTAGATCAGAACTAGGGGTCCGCAAGCAAAGGATCAACAACGAATATAGCGCTGCTGCTGCCACTCATTTACTGTCATAGCTAGTTTTACAAGTGTTCAACCTGGAGTAAGGCCAATGACATCTTAACCCATTTCGGCCTTGCGATGGCAATTGCCATCATCAAATTTAAGGATCTGCACTACGGGTGCAGCGGCACACTTCTACTAACCTCTGCTCGAGATAACGTCAGACGACATTCCCCTTCATAATAATGCTTTGAACCCGCCATTTGATTGCGTGTTTTTTTGTTTATTTATTGAATTATGTCGTAAGACACTCGTGAGAAATGGGTAAAAGAGATTGCAACGTCTGTTACAATGGATGCGCTAATGACAAAAAAAAGCAGTACTATGAGTATATATCTATGCCGTAAGTGTAATTTTAGCTGCAGCACGTTTGAATGAACTCATAGAACCACTTTTGAAAGAGTTAGTTAATCTGAGATATGCAAATCCGCTTCGAACAGTAAAGAACTTGGCTCTAATAGTTGTTCTAGGTTTCGGAAAAGATAGTTTTCTATCTCCTCCTCTTGTGACGGAAGGATGAATGCCATAAGAATTGTGAAAGATTAACTGCGGATTTCCCAATGATAAGGATTGTGGACCATGCAAAGGATCAAAAAGTTTACGTCTGGATTCTAGACTGGAAAGATTGAATAACTTGTTTCTGAATTCAGCTCTGGGATTCTGGAATAACACAAAACCGCAACGCCGTATAAGGATTTTTCTAGTGAACTTATTCTGCGCCTTGTCATCAAGGCTATATCTTTTTCTGTGAGGTGAAAAGATGACGGTTAGACAATTCAACAACGGGCCTAAATATACATTTTGTATACTTTTAGTAGAATTTATGGGTCACATGTTGTGAGAACCATGAAAATGTGAAAAGTTCGAATAATTGCTTTCCTGAATATCTCTTGATATGGGGTGGAAAACAAGCTTAATCTTGCAGAGCAGACCCTAAATCTAAAACTTTTCATTGTGGCTATTTCAACTTTACCTGTACTGGAGTAAGTGCTGTGTAGTGAGCATTCCTAACCGCATATGATAAGTCTTTTTCGGTGAAATAGGGATTTGCCAGTCTTGATGACCTAAGTACTCAACAAGGGTAGGGCTTTCTGAATGACCTCGACGTCATGAGATTTGTCAGTTTCTTTATATGTTTTCAAATCGTCAGCATATTGTTTACAGGTAACACCGATTTCTTCTAATCTAGGTATTAGATCAGCTGTATAGATGTTGAATAAGGTGGGAGAGAGTACTCCCCCTTGAGGTATTCCACTGTATACGCGAAAGGTGTCTGATAGCACGGAGTTTATATGGCCTTGAAAAGTCTTCCCAGTAAGAAACTCTTTTGGCCATCGAGTAATCTTCTCATGAAATAGGTATTTATCAAACAGCAAGAGAAGCTTTGCAGGGATAACTTTATCAAAGGCTTTTGCTAAAACTTCATAGATGACATCAACACTTTTTTGCTGTTGAGTGATAGGGTGCAGTCATTTGAGGACTCTAACATGCTCGTAGTTATACAGGGTGGCTACTAAATATTGGCGCATGGTTTATTGATCATATTTCCAAAAAGAGAAGCTATCATATCTTCAGAAGTTTATTTTCATATACAATAAAACATGAAAATTCATTACCAAAGAAAGTGCTCGAGATGGCCTCCTTTGGTTTTCTACCGAACATTTACTTTAGATTGTCTAGACTACAAGTCCCAATTTATTAAGCATACCAGATTGAGGTATTTTAACGAAACCACTCTTTCAAAGTCTCTTTCTGAATAATATACAACTTTACAACTTAATGTTAGGTCGTTCAGGTGAGATGTGGAGCGCTAGTTGCCAAAATGCATGTGAAATTGTTTCGCTGCCCTGGCATCAACGAGCGGTGCATCGAGTTTGGAAGTCGGTTATTAGTGGTTCTTTGACTCTACAGAAGCTATTCAATT